ATCATTTCTTCTAAATCTTTGGCTCGATCCCTTTCTCTTTGCATTTCATTCATGATCTTGCGGTGTTCAGCCTTGTGTTTTATAATTCGCTCTCTTCTGTCGACCTCAAAATCTTCCATTTTTTGCTTTCCTTTCTCAAGGCTTTTGAGTAGACGGCTATTCTTTCCTTTCAGATCTTCAACTCGACTTTTCTCGATGTTCAACTCTCTGGTTATCTGTACCGTTGATTGGCTTGGTCCTGATGCTTTCCGGGATTTATATAACTCTTGGTAATTTTTCTTTAATGTTCTAAATTCACTATCAACTTTTTCTTTGTTTTCTATCAACATTGCACATTGTGATGAATGAAAGCCAATATCAACACCCAACATAGCTTTATCTCGTCTCATTTGCTCTAATTCTCTTGACCATCCTTCTCTTTCTGCTTCAAACTCAGCTCTCAGGATTTCAATCTCTGATGGAACTACCTTAATGCGGTCTTCCATAGAGATATCCTCATTTTGATCTGGTAGAGGAATATTTTCATTTTTCCTTACATATCTCCATTCCTCATAATCAGGAGTTAGCATTTCTTTTGCTGCTTTAGCTCGGATACAAAAAGTTGTTTTCCAAGCTGTAACGGCTTCCATGATATTTCTTTTATAATTTTTGCTGTGGAATGCGAACTCAGATGAATGTAATCCAGCGGTGACAGGTACAAATTGACGACCTTCATACTGTCTTATGACCAGAAGTGGTGCATATTCAATTCCTCCCCATAATCCGAGAAGCATTATCCAATTGTAATCACCACATTTGTAAAAGAATTCCCTTTGGATTTGCCACGGGGCTCGCCAAACAACGTCATTACTTTGCAGATTTCGAAAAGCATTAATCCACATATCTTTCTTAATTTCTTTCGGCCATTCTTGCTCCAGAAATTCTTTTAATGGTGAGTAATTCGTGTTAAAGCGTTGGTATGAAACCTTTTCTGTCTTCCAAAAATGGCTACGGACCCAAACATATAACAACTGGGTACACCCTGAGAATCGTCCACCTCCTAGCTTTCTACAAGCATTTAACGATCTGAAGGTCTCTGCTAGAATTGCAGAAGCATGATTAATCTTTTTCGGTAGCTGTTCAAACAAATCTACCACTGCAGCTTCAACATATCCCAATACTTTTGGGAAGATGGCCATACCATAAATACCCAGAGCAAATAGATCGAATCGTACTTTAGTGTCTGGATGACTCTGAATAAGTTCTTTAATGTTGGTCCAAGCAATGCCTTCGCTTTCGCCTTTTTGTTTTGTACGGGATGCCACCCATTCTTCTCGTACCCCGGCAATCTTTGCTAATTTAACTCGAAAGGGTTGAGTTTTAATTGACTTTGAATAGATTCGATTCTCCAAAGCCCCTTCGATATGTAGCAAAGTTGTGTACTCTTCAATAGTAGGGACCAAGTCCTCCTTATTGAGAGTGAAGCAATTGTACCCTGGATTCCAGAATTGAATTAGGGCTCTGAGTAATTCATCATCAACTTCGACATAGAGCAAATATGGGATGTCTCCGTAAGTCTGATAAAACTGCAATTTTTTGTTTGAATCCCAACTTTCCCAAATGCTTCGCAAATCTTGCATATCATTTCTTTTTAGCGAAACTGGAGCATAACTGGCCAAGTCAGATACATAATCATCCTGCAGACTATCTCCTTCTTGTCTTTGTAAGTCCTCAGCCCACTGTCTTACTTCTGAGTTTAGAATTACTTGATTTGAATACTTTTTATCCATGGATGAAGGCTTTCCAATGAGACAATTAACACGAGGATCAATTCCTTTTTATCCTGTATGATGCTATGCAAACAAAAAAGATAAAGAACACACAAAAAGAAATGAATTAGTTTACATAATAAATAAATTTAATAATAACATTTAACTAAATATTTTTATTTAAACATGCTTTTTCATAATTTAAATAATTTAAATATACATGTAATTTAATCAGAAAAAAATAAATTAACAGGAAAATTAGAATTCATTTCTCCTGTGTGTACACCTATTTTGGATAAAATTTTGGCATGACTTCGGATCAGAAGAGTTTCTAGGGTTTATTATATGCAGGGTTTCAGATCTAAGAATAAAGGTACTCGAATTGTCCTTGTTAGTGCCCCCTTGGGTTGCTAACCCTCAATCTTAGTCCATCACAAACTAAAATGGATCGAGTTCAATTCGAGGGGATACATTTCTCTATGCCTGACACGGAGAATAAATTCTCACGAAGACATAGAGCATATGAACCCCGAAAGTTACTTGCTAGGTCTAACACGGAGAATAAATTCTCACGAAGACGTCGCTTTCACTCCCACTTAAAAAGGACAAACTCAATTATAGAGCTTTATGTTATGCAATGCAAGTGTTGTGTGTGAGGAGAAATGTTCAAACCTCTGACAGAAAAATAAATAATGAAATAAAATACTTGCAAATAAAAAATGAAATATTAATAAGAAAATATATACATACTATGAAAATAATAAATATAAAAAAAAATTGAACATGAAAAATCATAAATTAAATATATAAATTTTAATTTATAATTAATAGAGACAATTTATAATTGATTTTAAAAGTTTGACCAGTCCCCAGCAGAGTCGCCAAGCTGTCGTAACTGGTTTTTGTCCGGGTACGAAAAATTTATTTGGCAGAAAAATTGATGTGAATAAATGGTTTTTGAAAATAATTTGAGAGTCGCCATTGGCCTTTTGGGTCAGGTAGGTCGAATACCTAAAAATTATTTTTTAAAAGAGTTTTAAGAAAACATCAATTAAAAAATGAACTGATCTGCATTTATAACAAAAAATTCGTTCTTTTTAATAATAAAAAGGGATTCGTGGTCGGTTACGTTTAGGGAAGGATTAGCACCCCTACAACGCCCAAAATTGGTACTTTTTAATTATAAATTGTCTCTATTAAAAAAATTTCAAAATATATTTAATTTATAATCTTATTATTTCGAAATTATATAAAAATATTTATTTATTTAAAAATATCGGAAAAGGACTTCTAGGTGCCTTAAGACAGTTCTTTTATTTGATATTAATAAATATTTACATAAAATTAAATAATATATTTTTTTTAATATTTAATTTTAAAATACCAGAATAGGACATCCAGTTGTATTAAGACTGTCATTTTCTTCGATATTGAAAAATAAATGTTAATTTTTTTTAAAATAAATATTTATTTATTATATATATATTTATGACTACATAATAAAAATATTTAAATATATAAACAAGTAAAAATAAAAATACAATTAGAACTATATATTTAAAAGCAATAAAATAAATAAATATATTTAAAATTATTGACTAAATTGTAGTAAATTAAAATTAAAAACCTAATTCAATATTAATCAAAATTATAGGGATTAAACATGCTATTTTCTTATTTATTAATTTAGTGACTAAAATAAACTTATCTAAAATTCGAAATATCAGATTAAAATAAATTAAAACATACTATTCAGATTAAAATATTAATTATTAAAAATAAGGGATTAAATCTGTTATTTATCCTAAATATATTATTTTAATACAAAGGACTAAAATAAATAAAATTAAAATTAAAGAACCGAATTAAAAGGATTATAAATTGATTTAGTGACTAAAATGTAAAGTTTACAAATTAGGCTGACTGCGGAAAGGATTTAACTATTATTTAATTACACGAATAGCCCTCCCCAAAACGGCGTCGTTTGGGAAGGGCTATTTAAGCCCCTAACCGGCTGGCCCTTCGGGCCAGCTATCCCATTTTTCTTTTTTCTCTCTCTCTCAAACAGAGAGAGAGCCAGAGTTCTCTCTGGCCTCTCTCTATCTTCTCTCACCAGAGGGAATCCGGCAGCCGTCTGCTGCCACAAATTCTGCCGCCGACCACCGCCTCCGGTGGTCGAAAATTCCCTAAATTCACCTAAAATATAGATCTAAACACCCTAAGACCGAATCTGGCCTTTGTTTCCCCATAAAGACTCCTAATCGGAGTAAATCTATGAAAATACCTTCGGTATTTTCTGTTCTCCGGCGATGTTTAGTGCTTCCGGCGATGGTCAAGGCTTCTTTGGTAAGCTTCTTTCCTTTCTTTTCTTTTATTTTTGGTTGCTGTGTTGTGGATTTCGTTTTTTTTGTTTTTGCTGGTCTCTCCCTGTCGCTTTTTTTTCCGTCTTTGTTCGCAGATGGGGTGATGGCTTTATAGCCATCACCGGCGATCGTCTCGGACCGGTCCGAAGGGTGGAGTTTGGTGAGTCACCGGACTCCCAGTGGTGACTCACCGTTGGGATGACAGGTGTGCGGTCGGAGTGGCGGCGAGGCTGAAGCAACGCCGCGTGGTGTTCTGGAATCTACGGCGGCGCTGGGACGTGTCCCTAGGGTATTGATACCCTAGGGTTTCCTCTGGCAAACTGTGGACCGTTGGATGACAGATGGATAGAAAACCCTAATTGGGTTTTAGGGTTTTTGATTTGGGCCAGTTGGGTCCTTTGTAATTGGGCCGGTCCAATCTGGGCCTGTTTGTAATATGAATAAATAATATATATTAATAATAATAATAATAATTATAATAATAATAATTATAATAATACTAATAATAATAATAAAATGAGTAAAAAAATTTTTAGTATCTTCAGTTTGTATGCAACAATGTCGAAGTTTCAATTTCTTGATGATCGAATACCAGACGAAGCTTACTTACCAGTGCCCTTCAGAGCCCACCAGAAAAAAACGAATAAAATATCATGATATGTTTCAGAACCCAAAACAAATTTTGCTTTCTTTTTTTTGTGTGCATGTAACCATTTTTACTTTATTTAATGACCTACTCCTCTGCATCTCAGCTCTTTCTCATCTTCTTTTTAGCTTCTCCCACTAACACTTGGATATTAATGTGGTAAATGATGAATAATAGAGAACAATGACAAACTAATGGCATATTTTTATCAGTAGCCATGGAATTTCATATATAGGAACTTGCCAGTGTAGACAGCTACTCCACAAGCCCATTCTGTGTTCCTCAAATAGCATGACTGAAGAATTGTGTTTTTATGGTTAAAAGACACACATCATTATCAATAAATGGAGGGACAAACGATGATTGGCATCAAATCTTCTAATATCCTTATCTGGATTTGGACACTCAATAACACCCTGGAAAAGAAAACAGAACATGTAAAGATCAAAATACACAAATGTTTGTGTCTAACATACCAAGGAAAAATGAATTTACGGTACTTAAATCTTGCCTTGATTTTATGCAGCAATTCAAAATCTATTCCCATGCAAGTAGAAGGTATTACCCTTGTCTTCAAATCAGTTTCACCATCAAGGGCAGAAGTCTGCAAGACAATTTAGTGAGGCATATTCAAGTGAGTGTATTTCTACCTTATGTATATGTGATATGATGAAGACTTGCAACGAGTCAAGCTCGAGTGTTTTGAAAGAAAAAGGTTTTGAGTCTTTTTATGATATATTGTCATAATGCTTTGTTAAATGATTTTTTTAAAATGATTTGGCTAGTGATGAGCCAATCTTGAAAGTTTGACAATGAAAATGATTTGAATGCTTTTGGGTATGAACTGCCCAATGCATTTTTATATGATATTTTGATGTATTCGTGTTTATGAAACTTTGACATGTGAATGGTATATGGATTGAAATATAATCATTGTATGTGCATTGAGAGTTAGTGATACTGGCATGCCAAGAGTTTAAGTGATTATTGATTGATCATACATGGTACATTCGTATACATTCTATGCGACACTTTTGAGTGCAACTCTACGCGGCACTTTCGAGTGCTATTATATATGGCACTTTATGTGCAATTTTACGCGACACTATTTATGCATTCATGAAACTCATAATGATTGATCATTATGATATTCCTGATTTATACAGTGTTGTTGTGTTCTACAGTACCTGTATATTCTACGTGGCACTTTATGTGCATATTATCTACGCGGCAGTTTCGACTGCATATTTGCGCACACTTATATATGGCTCATGTATCACGCATTCTCATTTATCATATATTGGGCTGTGAATTGAAATGAAATTGAAATGTACATGTTTGATACATTTTATTGAAAGTAAAGTTTTATATGATAATTTTATGTTATGTAATATGTTTGGTATTTTTCCTGTATATGTTTTTATTATTATTAGTATTATAATGCCTCACTAAGTATATACTTAGCGTGTGATGATTTTCACGCATAGGTGGTAGAAAACTTAAGGAGTAAGGAGTCAGGTTAAGCATCAACTTTTAGAGGAATCAGATCTTCTCTGTATCCAATATGACATCTTTTGAATATTGATAAACAAGTTGGCATGTACATCATATGGTTATGATACTTGGAACTAGAAATGTTTTCTTTATCTAGTTCTAAATGAAATATATTGCTTATTACTATTTATGTATGGTGGTTTATTATCTAGTGTTTTAGTAGTAACAATTTTCCATGCTATCGTTTAGTTATTGTCGTAACCGGTTTTTGCCCAGGCATAAAATTTTACTTGGCGGGAAAAATAAAATGAATAAGTAAATGATTTTGATTTTAAAAAAATATTTTGGGAGTCGCCATTGACTTTTTTTGGGTTAGGTAGGTCAAATACATAAAAACAATATTTTAAAAATTTAAAATAGTTTTTAAGAAAACATAATTTAAAAGATAAACTGATCTGCGTATAACCAAAAATTTTAGTAAAAAAGAGATTCGTGGTCGGTTACGTTTAGGGAAGGATTAGCACCCCTATAACGCCCAAAATTGGTACCCATTAATTATAAATTGTCTTTATTATTTGAAATTTAAGAATTCAAAAATATATTTAATTCATAATCCTGTGATTTTAAATTTATTAGTATAATTCCAAGAAAATATATTTATTTTTATATTTTTATAAATAAGATATTTAATTACTTAGAAATATCAGAAAAGGACTTCTAGTTACTTTAAAACAACCCTTTTCTTAATATTAAAAAATAAATAAATATTAATAAAACATTTTTCTAAAAATAATTAAAAAATAGATTAATATATAATTTATAAAAATAGGATATTTATTTATTTAAAAATATCAGAAAAGGACATCTAGTTACTTTAAGACTGCTTTTTCTTTAATATTAATAAAGAAATAAATATTAATAATAATATAATAATTTTCCTAAAAAATAATTAAAAACTAAGTAAATATATATACATTTATAAGCAGGATATTTATTTATTTATTAAAATATCAGAATAGGACGTCTAGTTATTTTAAGACCGCTCTTTCTTAATATTAAAAAAATAAATAAATATTAAAAATGTGATAATTTTTCATAAAAAAATAATTAAAATTAAATTAAATATATATAATTTTTATAATATTTATTTATTTAAAATACCAGAATAGAACATCTAGTTATATTAAGACTGTCATTTCTTAATATAAAAAATAAATAAATATTATTATTTAAACAAATAAATAAATAAATATATATATATATATATATATATATATATATATATATATATATATATATTTATATGACTAAGATGAAAATAATAAAAAATAATAATAATGAAAGTAATAATTTAAACATATCGAACAAAATAAAATTGTAAATAAGAAATTAAAATTATAGCCTCATATTCATAAATATATAAGCTTAAAATGTAAAAATAATAAAACTTATGGTTAAAATGAAAATTATATAAAAATTAATGATCAAATTATAAAATATAAACAATTAATGTACATAATTAGAATTATCATGTAATATATACATTAAGAGTGTAAATTAGCCATAATAAAATATTCGGGATTACAATAATAATAATTAAAATTTTAGGGACTAAATATTGTATTTACCCTAAATATATGTCTATATTAATTAGTGACTAAAATATAAATTAAATATAATTCAAAGACAAAATTAATATACGCATAAATGTAATTCCAGTGACTAAAACGAAAGGATTATAAACTATAAAGGGCTACGGAAAGGGTTTCTCAATGTTGGAAATTACATATATGCCCCTTCTCCAAAATGACATCATTTGGGGGAGGGTATTTATACCCTTTAAACCGGCCCCCTATGGCCACTCTTCTCATTTCTTCATTTCTTATTCTCTCTCTAGCAGAGATAAATTTTATTTCTCTCTGTCTTCTCTCTAAATTTTCCAGTCGGTCAGCAGCCTTACACCGCCGTTAACACCGCCGCCGGCCACCAAGAACGGTGGCCGGAATTTACAAAACCATACCAAATCAAAGCTTTTTTAACCCTAAAGCCAAATCCAATATCATTTTCTCCTAAAACCCCCTAGTATTTTCTAGATCTAAGGAAAATACCTTCGGTATTTTAACGGTTCGACAGCGGTTTAGAGGGCTCCGATGGTCGTGGTAAGTTTCTATCTTCTCTCTTTGCTTTCGATTTGCTGCTATGGGTTTATTTTTCCGCTGCTGTTGGTGTTGTTTGGCTTGCTGGGTTGCTGTTGTGGTCTCTGCTGGTTCCCTTTTCTTTCTCCTATTCTTCGTTCTGTGGTTGTTGGTTGATGTCCGTCATTTTCTTATTGTTTTGTAGGGATGATGGCTTTTATAGCCATCACCGACGTTCTACTCGGACCGGTCCCAAGGAGGTTGCCTAGGTGAGTCACCATATCTATGGTGGTGACTCATCATAGAGCTCGACGTGTGGAGGGGCAACTGGCATTCTAGAGGCTTCGACGACGAGGTGGCGTGGCAGTGGAGTGTCGGTAGTAGGTGTTAGACCACATGGTAGTGGAATCGGCGGCCTCGTGGTGCATCAGAGGCGATTGGAAACTCTTGGAGGCGACGGGTAGGGTTTAAAAACCCTACCAGAGATTATACAAACCCTAGAAGGGTTTGGGTAATCTATTGGGCCAGATCTGGTTCTAGATCTGCTTCTGGGTCAAATGTAACTGGGCTTTATTTTGGGTTTGGGCCTCCGATTTATTGTAATTATTTATTAATAATATATAATAATATAATAATAATATTTATAATAATAATAATAAAATGAAAAAATTAGTGTTTACAGCTGCCACTCTTTGCTCATTCTTGTGTTAACAAGAATATAACAAAGACGAAAAAGACAATAATTTTTTTGCTTGGCTTCTTTTAAGTAGGATGGAAATGTTGAAAATATTCTGTCAAGAGGTCTTAAGAATGGCACGGAGGTCTTATCATCTTGTACTGTAGGTCTTACAGATAACCCGGAGGATTTAAGATCAAGAAACCTTTGAAAATCAGTTTCTTAAAATCTCATTTGAAAACATCTTGCACTGTAGGTCTTATGGATGACCCGAAGGTTTTGAAAACATTATGCACTGTAGGTCTTACAGATGACCCGAAGGCTTTGAAATATCAAAAAACTCCCGAAGGCTTGTTTGAACACATCCTGCACTGTAGGTCTTATGGATGGCCCTGAGGTCTAAAAAACATCATGCACTGTAGGTCTTACAGATGACCTGGAGGCTTTAAATATAAAAAAGCTCCCGAAGGCTTGTTTGAACACTTTCTGCATTGTAAGTCTTATGGATGGCCCTGAGGTCTTGAAAACATCATGCACTGTAGGTCTTACAGATGACCCGGAGGCTTTAAATATCAAAAAGCTCTCGAAGGCTTTTTGAAAACATCATGCACTGTAGGTCTTATGGATGGTCCCGAGGTCTTATCATCTTGCACTGTAGGTCTTATAGATGACCCGAAGGCTTTGAAATATCAAAAAGCTCCCGAAAGCTTTTTGAAAACATCCTGCACTGTAGGTCTTATGGATGACCCTGAGGTCTTAAAAACATTAAAAATCTCCCGAAGGCTTTTTGAAAACATCTTGCACTGTAGGTCTTACAGATGACCCGAAGGATCATGCACTGAAAGGCTTACAGATGATCCGAAGACTTTTTGAAAAAAATCCTGCACTGTAGGTCTTACAGATGATCCGAAGGTTTTGAAAACATCAAAAAGCTCCTGAAGGCTTTTTGAAAACATCCTGCACTGAAGGTCTTACAGATGACCCAAAGGTTTTGAAAACATCAAAAAGCTCCCGAAGGCTTTTTGAAAACACCCTGCACTGTAG